GTGAGACTTGTTAGGTTACTGGATGCTGGGCCTAGCTACTGCAAGTGGCAATTACTAACTTTAAATGGGTGATATCCTTGGTCATTGATCCTAGTTTGAGACTGGTTAGGTTACTGGCTGCTATGTCTAGCTATTGCTATTTATACCAACCTTGAGTGGAAGATAGCCCATTTAATTGATCCTAGTGTGGGTCTGGTAAGGGTACCGCACAGTGACACTTACACCAACTTTGAGAGGGAGATAGCCTGATCAAAATGTATTTTCTGTGTATTCAGCCCAGTGTGTGAGCACTCTGTAATGGGCTCTGTAGGATTTGTTAAAGTTAAACACAATAACGTTACAGTAGTAAATCCAAAAAGCCGCAACCCATTTTCCAACACAAACATGTTTTGGTTGAACACAGCTGTGTTAGTTTACACAATAAAGATTAAAATCTCAATTTATTTTCATAACAACAACAAACCAACCTTCATCATAGTTACATCTTAATGAAGTGAGGGTCAGTCGTGTTTACCAATCCACCATCAGCAATAGTGCCATGGCCAAACTTGACATGTTTTCCTCGGCCATGAAGACTGCTGACACTTCTGCTGCTGCCACCACTTTAAGCAGGACCTTGCCATATCTGTTACATCCATTCACCGCCTAGGAGGTGAATATTTTTTATTTGTTTCCCTCTAAGCCTTATGCTGTACTAATTGGCGACTAAAAGTAGAGAGTAGAAAAAGAATCTGTAGTTGTAGTAGCAAAGTCAGCAGGGTCCACAAGTAGAAACTTTAACTAATTGGCGACTAAAAGTAGAGAGTAGCAAAAGAATCTGTAGTTGTAGTAGCAAAGTCAGCAGGGTCCACAAGTAGAAACTTTAACAGCAGCATCTTGAGTGGTACTACAGCAGTGAAGTAAAGAAGTAAAGTCCTTTAACGTCTGGTCTTGGTGGTGGCGGTGATCAATCTAGTGATGCTATCGCTCTTTTCCCAACCACCCCCGGCATAGCTTCTTTAGCTCTGGCCCTGGAGGTTTTTCAGTGAGCTAGAGAAATTGTAAGAGGAGAATATGGAGTATCCTGATAGTACTCCACTAGTGTTTTGTCAAGGTACAGTGCACTCTTCCCCACCATGGCTGAGTCCATCTCTATCTGCTTTGGAATTCCCTCATTCAATGGACACAATTACCATCATCTGCTACCACGGCGACAAGTAGCTTATCCACTATCACCACCAAAATTACCCCCAGTAGTGTAGAGGCTCAGACTAGTTTATTTTTCTTAAATTTTAGTTTAGACTGTTTTATGGTTTGTTTGTTTTTGCAGTGTGCCTTTGGGCCACTCTTTGTACTTTGTATATTTGTGAGATAAGGAATTTGCAATTAGATGGATATGGATATCAGTGGTGGCTGATAAAGATTTAAGATGATGGTGAGCCAGGAGCTTCTCTATACAGTACAGAGATACTCATACAAGACAGAGAACAGAGCATAATACAGAGATGCTCATACTATAAACCAAGACGGGCACAACATAAAGATATCTATATAATACATAGAGCTGAGTACAATACATGGACAACATACTACACACAAAAAAAACAAAACAGAAAAAAGAGAGATGTGAGCATGGTTAAAGAAGATGGTGGCTATGTGCAGAAGGTGTTATTAAAACAGTTAGTGACCTGTAGGAGAGTGCTCTGTGTCACAAATGTCTCCCACCCATTATCACCCCTGGCTAGAGCATGCTTTCGTGGTGGTTTGGTTTTATTTATTTATTTTTCTTCTCTCTACACACACAGGTCTGGAAATATTTGTACATGGATACCATTTTTCATAACTTTGGCACTGTACGCCACTAAAATGGATTTGAAATTAAACAACCTAGATGCAATTTAAGTGCAGACTTTCAGCTTTAATTCAAGGGGTTGAACAAAAATATAGTTTGAAATACTTGGGAATTGCAACCATTTTCATACACAGTCCCCTTATTTCAGTGGTTCAAATGTAATTTGACAAATTAACACAATCATAAATAAAATGGTACTTTTAAATACTTTGCCAAGAATCCTTTGTGAGGAACGCATGGAGATCACCAAACGCTTCTTTGTGATGCTCTGCCATTTCTTCACTGCAACTGTAATGGTTGAGATCAGCCATTGCAGAATATTCCACTTCTTTGCCTTAAAAAGCTCTGGGGTTGCTTTCACAGTATGGTTTGGGTCATTGTCCAACTGGATAGTGAAGTGCTGTCTAATCAACTTCGCAGAATTTGGCTGAATCAGAGAAGACAATATATCCCTAAGCATTTCAGAATTCGTCCAACTGCTCGTCATATCAATAAACGCTAGTGATCCAGTACCACTGACCGTCATGCCAGCACACTGCCTCCACTGTGTTTTACATATGATGTGGTATGCTTTGAATCATGAGCTGTCTCAGGCCCACTCCATACTTTATTTTTTTATTTCTCCCATCATTCTGGTACAGGTTGAAATTACTTTCATCTGCCCAAATAATGCTGTACCAGAACTGGGCTGGCATTTTTTAGATGTTCGAGGATTATGAATGGTTTGTATCTCATAGTATACCCTCTATTTACTCTTGTGAATTCTTCTCTTTATGGTACCCTTGGATAATATGCCTACCTTCTGCAGAATGTTCTCCACTTGAAGCAGTTTTTCTTTACCATGAAAAGGATCCTATGATCATCCACCACTATTTTCCATGGTCTTCCAAGCCTTTGTGTTGCAGACCTCACCAGTGCGTGTTTATTTATTTTTTTAAATCAAAATGTGCCAAACTTGATTAGGCCACTCCGAAATGTTCCTGCGAACGCTCCGCTGGATGTTTCTTTGACCACATGTAGGTTCACAGCAACAGCTACCAAATGCTAATGGAATGCCTGGAATCAACTCCAGATATTTTACTTGCTTAATTGATGAAGAAATAAAGGAATAGCCCACACCTATCCATAAAACCACTTTTGAGTCAATTGTCCAATAACATTTGGGTCACCTAAAAGTAAAAATGAGGGGGCTATATATTGAAGAGCTATTATTCCTAAACCCTTCTGCCAATTTGAATGTGAAATCAAAGCTGAGAGACTTTAAATCCACATTATTTAACTATACATTTAATTTCGGTGAACAGCTGAAATAAAACTTTAGTCTGTCAAAATATTTCCACACCTACCTATATATACACACATTTTTAGTACATTCCCTTGCTTATATCAGCCATCAGGCAGTCACTATGGCTACTGTGTGAGATAAAGATATCCACATAACATTTGGCTGGGGCCAGGAGTTGCTGCTGTGTTACACTGCAACCCTACCCACCCCGATCAGCCAATGATCACCTATGAATAGAAAAGGCACTCAAGTGCAGCTGGCTTTGCAAACACCTCAAGTCATGTGTCTCTTAAGTCCTTCTTGGTATATGGATTTTAAGTTCTTTTTCTGAAGTGCATGAAAAGGAATATTGTCAATACAAATGTTACTTGTTTTCCCTGTTCTCTACTGCAGATAATGAAAGTAGCATGTTTGGCAAAGGATAATAGCACATATTTAAAATGAAACAGTTTAATTAAACCAAACTTGCTAGACAGCCAACAAAACAGGGGATACATTTAGATTATATTTTATAGATGTACCACTTCATTGACTGAAACACGATGCACAAAAATTACTTTTCAGCAACCTCAAGGTTCGTAAGAATCGGTGGGGCACCAGTGCTATAGAACAGGAGACTGCAGAGAGGGGGATGGTGTCTATTTAAATACTGTGATACATTTGTAGCTGTTGACCATGCAGAGTTAGTGGCCAAATGTTTTGGTGCTGTTTTCTTAAGCCCAAAATATTGTATGCCAAATATTGGCTTTCGCATCTGATCCAAATTCATATTTAGCCAACTGAAGGAGCAGTCAGTGTTTCTTCCCAACCCTTCTGTTTGTGTTCCCCAAGGTTCTGTCTTTGGTCTCCTACTCGATCTACACTGGCTCCCTTGGCTTTCAAGATCATACCTATGCGGATGACAAGTCTGTCCGCTCCTGATCCCTCTTGACTTGTGTTGGACTGCCTCTGCCATTTCTAACTGGATGGTTGCCCACTTCCTTAAACTCAACTTGTCCAAAACAGAACTTCTGGTCTTTCCTCCCTCAAGTGTTGCTACTCCCGTGTGTCTCCCTCCACATTATTGGCGCTACCATCAGCTCCACTATGCAGGCTCACTGCTTAGGTGTTCTTTGATTGCAACCTCTCCCTCACCCCTCATGTCCAGTCAATCGCCAAATCCTACCTCTTCCATCTCAAAAACATTGCCCGCATCCAACCATACTTAATGCGGCTAAGTAGTTGGTCCATGCCACTATTGTTTTGCCTGGACTACTGAAATACACCTCAGTGGTCTTACGTGCTCTCAACGTACCCCAAACTGTGTTGTGAAAGCTCATCTTCCTGTCCGCCCGCACCTCCCACACTTTACTCCGTCATGCCCTGCATTGACTTCCTGTAAGATATAGGGCTCAATTTAAAATCCTGGTTCTTGCATACATATACACATATATATATATACACACACATACACATATATATATATATATATATATATATATATATATATATATATATATATATATATATATATATATATATATATATATATATATATATATAAAAAAAAGTTGCTCCAACCCATCTTTTCTCTTGAACACATACACAAGTATGCCCTCAACCCCTCCTGTGTGTCCAAACTTGTCTAGTTACAGTGTTTGTTAGTCCACCCATTGTACAGCACTGCAGATATTGGGGCTATATAACATCGCATCACCAAAAGGGTCCAGATATGTCAGTACAAAATCATGCCACGGCTGCTTACAGACAGATTTTTATATTCAATACCATTTCACTAACACACAAACAATCCACAACTTACAGCTGTGATCCTCCATGAAAGTCCCCACCTCCTCAACAGAAATGCAGTTATCCAAGATTTTTTTTAATAAATATACAAACACATTTTGGTGTAATACAGTCTAGGTTTTATTAGGAAGACAAACATTTTAACAAAGCTTAATACTCTCTTTATTTTTATTTTTTTATTGTGGTACCCAACTACTTAAAAAGAAGCTTTAAACACCAAGTATTGTGAAGCATTTTTAAAATGGCTCCCATGGTTTCATAAGAAAAAGGAAAAAAAAACAAAAAAACAAAAACGAAGTTGACATAAAATAGATTCAGAGATGCACATCTCTGAATCTACCCCTTTAATACAAACCGTAAATCCAAATTTATTTCAGTGCAAAGTATCAATGAGGTATTAAGAACGAAAAAAAACAAAAACTCAGGGTTAGAAATAAACTGAAACCGTATCAAATCAGGGATATACACTAAACTCTGCACATTAGCAAATTAATTCCCATTTACATAATTTAGACAAAAGTAACTACATTGAAAGAAGAAAAAAAATATTTCAAACTCTGGTCTTATCAAAGTTTGGCTATTTTAGCCTGAATTTTCCATATTGGGTTTAATGGACTACAGTCCAGAGATTGGTGAATAACCCCATAAATCTTAAAAACTGGAGTGATTTCTCTTAATCTGTGCAAAACATACCTTTCCAAAAATGAAAACAGCTACTCGAATGTGCAACACTTTTTTACTCTAAAGAGAAGCTTTAATGCAATAATGTACAGTAAAGTCTTACACCTGTTGTGTAAAACTGTTAGAGTTTCTGTCAAGGCAGCAGGAAAGGGAAAAGAAAAAACCTCCAACAATTATTTAACTAATGTGCTCTGTTATTAGGGTGAAACCTTCTTAGTCATCTAGCTAGGACTGGTGCACATCAAACTGCCCAAAACACACATGGTATGGAATGGAATTATTGAAAGGTTTTGCCAAAAACAACACAGTATGCTAAAACAATTTATTTAAAGGGGCAGTCTTAGTACCAAAAATCACCTCATCTTAAATAGGTGTTATTGAGCATACAGGCTGCCCCTGCTTTTTTTTTTTAAAGCAGGCCTACCAGTGGCTTGCAGAAAGACCGTTACTAGGTGGTTTTAGACACAATGTGATTCAATTGTTAGAGAAGCAATGAATTGTTGGATGAAGGCATTGCAGCACGTAAGCCATGTAACCTTATTGCTAGTCTGAAGCATCTTAGACAAGTGTCAGTCTTAATGACTTTAATGGAAGAGGATCAGGCTGCAAAGAAGAGACTGTCCTACTCTGGAACCACAGCAAGTTTTAGTGTGTTTTAATTTTGAATAAGGAGAAAAATAAATAAAAAACCTAAACACTCCACCATACACACCATGGGGAAAATATTGTAAAGGGAACACGGAATAAGTCTAATTTAAAAATAAAAAAAATTCTACTTTGAGTGTTCCATAAAGTCATGTGTGCTCTGGTGTACACCATCATTACTCTCAGGGTTATTCTCTAAACTCGGAATTTAGCTGCTTAAATCCAAATTGTAAAATATAGGCAAAAGATTAGTGCTGTGAAAAAAAAAAAATTATTCAGTTCAGCTCTACTCAAAGCCTGATTATTTTTGCAATTTCAATTTAATTTGCTAAAATCTGGAGTTTAGTAAAGAAATGTCAGTGATTCTACTTCATTTAAAAAAAAAAAATGATATGCATCACGCAGCTTGTAGTACCTGGTCATACAAATGAAACTATACATTTTACAAAGTAGCAACCGCCCTGTTCTTATACAAGAGAAAAAACAAAAACACCCCTTTAATACATAGGTGTTGGAAAAATAGTTTGTAAACATCTTTGTTTCAAGTCTAGGGTTGGAGAAAGACAATTTGGCAACGCATCCAAAAAGGCTGTTCGGTACATACACTACTCTAGTTCATAAGTAGTATAGGTTCTTCGAACTCATAGAAAGACCTTGTGCTAGTCTGACCTGCACGTGAGTCAGACTCAAAAGGACCACCTGGTAGCTCAGAAAAAGTGCACGCTAGTTGTTCATTTTCACGCTCTGAGCGGACGTAAGAGGTACGCGAATATCCTTTTTCACTCATAAAGTTAAAATCTTGAGGAATATAGAGCATGTCTGGATAATTCCTAGTAATCAAGTCACATGTAGTTTTCAATGATGTTTTTCTAAAGGCCATGAGATGCATGTGAGCAAATTTTGAGTAAATCATGCGTTTAAAGCCGAGAGACTCAATTGCGATCTTCCAGCTTTTCATCATTAAAGCATGACGATTCTGATGTGAGGAATCAGGGGTGATGATAAGCAGCAAACCGTTTAGTGCAAGAAGTTCGTGGGCCTTTTTACAGCAAAGCCAACGTTGGTAACGTGAAGGAAAATAAGAAAGGAGAAGGGAGAAAACAACTACATCAAAAAGCTCAGAATGCAAGCTCTCAATTGGACTTCGTAGGTTCTTCAGGAAAATATCAACGGCCTCAGGAGCAAGCTGAAGAGGCTGGCGTATTTGCAGATTCAGGAAGTCACACCTGTGCACAGTCTGTTAAAGAGAAAAATAAAGTTTGGTACATTAGATATTAATCAGGAACTGACACTTTTTGCATAGTAAACAGAATTAAAAAAAAATAATTAGGTGTTCTGCTTTTTATTGTTACAGATTTAGCAAATAGCATAATTCAAGCACACAATGCAGATCAGAAGCCTCTTGTAGCTTTCTTTATGCTGACTAACAATAGCACAGGACAGAGCATATAACAATGATTTATTAAAGGGGTGGGGGCAAAACATTCAAAATTTTGAGCTATAGATATGATCCAGTACACATTCACTAAAAAGCAATTTTAACAGAACACGTTCATTTCTCTTTAATTACATTTGCTTGTGCGGCAAAAAAAAAAAAAAAAAAAATTATGTCACACTTAGAAAATGTTAGTACTACTTCATACATGCATAATTTTTAAGGAATTAACCTCAACGGCAGGAACAATGTCAATCCCAACTGCCAAGATGTCTTCATACTTGAGAAATGGATTGTAGCAGCTTCCGACATCGAGCAACCTCATCTTTCCAGAGTGATGAAACCTAAGACATAAATTATTTTTTTTATGAAAAACAAAAAAAAACACAGTCTTCCAGTGTTTGCAATATAAAAAAAAAAAAAAAAAACCCTTCTTTACATCAAACCTGGATATGTAAAATTAAATAGGTTAGACTGGACTAAAGGATATAAATTGATTAATTTGAATAAGCCTGTTTGTTCTTTACATACCCCTATATTCATTAGACCATGAATATATTGAGTTCATTTGAAAATATCCCAAAAACAAAAACACTAAAAAGTGCAAGTAGTTTAATAAGAAACATGATTGATGTTAATTAAAAACTAATTGACAGCTACTAGTAGCGTGTCAACACCTTAATACAGAGGGATTTCACCATCAAATAACTTCTACACATTTACCATGATGTATTTCCACATCACAAGTGACTTGGCAATTAGTTACAAGTGAATATAAGATTAATATCATCAAGCTGTCCCAAGAGGGAACGGATTGTAATAAGCTTTGAAAGTTTGATATTCTTATATAGAGGTGTGACAGAAAGTGAAAAAAAAAAATATATATATATAAATCTTTTAGTATTAAAGTGCATAGAGATTAGTTTTCAGAAAGTCCCAGAGTCTACAAGGATACTCCCTAAAGTCCTAGCCTAGACGAGTACCATATTAAAGACGTTTTTAGTTATATTGTGCATCAATTTGGGGGTAACTGTTCTATACAATAAGCAGCACACTCAGGATGCATGATTTAAAGGACCACCATACGCATTAAGACCACTTCAACTCAATGAAGTGGTCTGGGTGCCAGAACCTTCTGGCTTTAACCCTGCAGCTGAAAATATACACTGAGGGTTAATCCAGCCTCTAGTGGCTGTCTCCCTGAATTCTCACTGTTAAAAATGCTGGATGCCCATAGGAAAGCATTGAGTAAGGCTCTTGCGCGTCGGAAGGAGGAGTAGAGGTCACCATCGCTGAGGGAGCCCGGTGCTGGAGAAAGGCAAGTGGCTTAAGTTTTAACCCCTTCAGCCCAACAGGAGGGGCCCCTAATGACCCTATAGTGCCAGGAAAATAAGTTTGTTTTCCTGGCACTATAGTGCTCCTTTAACCCTTTGATGACAGTTCAGGACCGTCATCGGAAAAATCCCCTTGGGGACCGATGACTGTCCTGAACCGTCATAATGGTCTGGGGCTACTTACCTGATCGCGGTCGGTCCCCCGGCAGCGATCGGCACTCCTCCGGTCCAGGGGGACTGCCTGTCTGCCCGGGCAGTCTCCCCTCGGCCGCAATAGGTGCCTGTATCTGCCTGCAGGGGGACTGTCTGTGCTGACAGGCAGTCTCCGTGCAAGTGAAAAATCAAAAATAAAGTTAAAAATAAAGCAGTGTAAAAAAATATAAATACACACACACACACACACACACACACACACACACACACACGTGTTATATGTATATATAATGTCATACTAAGTGTATTTTTATATACATATTAATATAAAAATACACACTATATATAATAACTATTGTATTATAAATATGTTAAATAAAAAATAGTTAAAATAATTATATATATTTAATTTTATTCTAACAGTATTTTGATAATATATTCATATCAAAATACACTTAGAATGTAATGATATACATGTATAAATAAAAATATGAAATATACATATGTCCATATACATAATTACATCAATAATTTCATAGATATACAAATATGTATATTAAAATTCTATGTGCGTATTTATGTAATATTTTTACCTAATTAAGTAATTTTAATGATTGCAATTTGAGGGAACTGCCTGCCAACCCAGGCCGAAAGTCCTGAGAATTTAATTTGCTAGAACTGTGTTTAACCCTGTAACTTTCTATGACACCCTAGAAACCTGTACATGGGGGGGAGAGGAAGAGAAACAGTTTCTCAGGAGACTTCGCTGAACACAAATATTAGTTTCAAAACAGTAAAACATATCACAGAAATGATATGGCCAGTGAAAGTTACTTTTTTGCATTTTTCCACACACAAACGGCACTTTCACTGATTATATTATTGCTGTGATACATTTTACTGTTCTGCTACACCAATATTTGTGTTCAGCGAAGTCTCCTGAGTATAATAGTACCCCACATGTAGAGATTTTATAGTGTTTGTGAAAGTTAAAGGGTCAAATATAAGGCTTGATTTTACTTTTTTTTATTGAAATTTGTCAGATTGGTTAGGTTGCCTTTGAGAGCGTACGGTAGCCCAGGAATGAGAATTACCCCCATGATGGCATACCATTTGCAAAAGAAGAAAACCCAAGGTATTGCAAATGGGGTATGTTCAGCCTATTTTAGTAGCCACTTAGTCACAAACACTGGCCAAAGTTAACTTTTTTGCATTTTTAACACACAAATATAAATGCTTACTTTGGCCAGAGCTTGGGACTATGTGGCTACAAAAAAAAAAAAAAAAAAAAAAATAAAAAAAGACTGGACATGCCCCATTTTGAATACCTTGGGTTGTCTACTTAAAAAAAAATATGTACATGTGAGGTGTGATTCGGGGATTTATGACAGATAACTGTGCTACAATGTCACTATGGAAGAGAGAAACAGCAATTTCCTACTTGTATTTATAGACCTATATCTTGCAAAAAAAGCAATAAAGCATGTAAACACTGGGTGTTTTTAAACTCGGGACAAAATTTTGAATCTATTTAGCAGTTTTCTTCATTAGCTTTTGTAGATAAGTAAAAGTCCAAAAATATGTTTTTCACCATAAAAAAAACCCAATATATAACTTGTATGGGAACCGTAAATGAGAGAGGGGAAAATGACAGCTAAACACCACAAAAGTGTCAAAACTGCTCTGATCCTTAACGTACAACATTGCAAAACCAGGCCGGTCCTTAAGGGGTTAAGGACAGCTTCATGATCAATACAAAATAAACCTTCTGTTGAACAATGTGGCTGTTCAAGGAGTGGATTACATTTCCACTTTTTTTTTTTTATAGTGCATACGTAAGGTACAAACATGCTTGGGGTACCCCAACAGAATTCCACAAGCTTTATAACATTTCACAGATGAGGTAAAGATAGACAATGCACCGTTTTTAAAGCAAGTACAGGAGATATCCGTAAGCTTTTGTTATTATATGTAGTATTGTGGTGATCGTGTTGGGAAGCGATACAGACACAGCATATCCTGTGTCGTAGAAAGTCGAGAGGTTAAGAGTGTGCCTATGAGGTGTAGCCTGTCAGCGTATGAGTTGCCTGAGTGCGTTCTAAGGGTGTAGTGCTAGTGTTTTCGCTGTTGGACATAGAGGTCACAAATGTTGCTATGTAATGAGAGGTGGCGTATGCTGTACACAATATATCCAGCTAGGCAATTCAATTATGTTTGGAGAATATACATATACACACACATACATATATACATATACATACACACACGGTCATGCCAAACAATTTTTTTTTTTTTTTTTTTTTACATACTAGGCTACTCTGGGAGGCCTGGCAAACTTATCGTGCCAAAAGAACATTTATATACTGGGCAACTTCGGCAAGCCAGGGGAACCGACCATGCCAAGAACTTCTATGTAATGGTTACCCTGGCCAGCCAAGCATCGTTTGCTCCCAAGTCCTCCGTTAACACAGCAAGACAGGCAGGGTTTGGTAGTAGCCTGTAGCGTCCAGCCTGTGTGTGTTCTGTGCCGGCTGTCAGCCCATTCCATTGCTGAAGTGGAGAGTCCGTTGCTTCAGGGGAGACTGCTGGAGAGATGGCAGCAAAGTGGTGGTGCAAGATGGGCTCTGTTCTCAGATGTGATGGGATCTTCTGTGGGCTAAGATGCGCCCCATCGCTGCTCGGCTGTCTATATGTTATGCGGTGTCTTCTGTGCTGATTGGGGTATGGTGTGTGTGACCGTCCAGGTGCAGCTCGTTGTGTGAGAGAAGGGCTCCTCGGTTTGTCTGGGTTACCAGCATCTGTGTAATGATTTTCAGATGGTTCTTTGATGCGGTTGCTGGCTTGCAGTGTTCCTGCTTCTTTTGCCCGAAACCGGCTCTCTCCTGTGTTGGAGCCACAACCCAATTCTGTGCCCCTTGTGATATGTGGTGTGCTGGGGCGCTGCGATGGGTGCTTACAGGTGGTTGTTGTGGGGAGTTGATTTGCCCGCACTAGGTAGTTAAGCCATGTGTTGAGTGCCTGAGGGCCGCATGTTCTCTCTCTGCTTTCGATGCATGTGGCGTCCGCCATCTTAGGTAGGGTGCTCAGGCTGCTAGTCAAGATAGTAATGTCACCGGGCCCCATGTGCCTTGCTGCTCTCGGATTCACAGGGTGGGGACCGGGGATCACCCCCGCAGAGGGCCAGAGACCGTCCGCCCCGCTCACCGCCAGAGAAGGCCCCATCTGGAGCAGCAAATTCTCCTCCAGGGGACTGTAACTCGGAGAGTCAACCTCTCCCTGGCTCCAATGTTCCCAGCACACTGAGGACCGGTGCTGCTGGTCTGTCATCCCAGAATAAATTATGTTTTAGAGGTTTGTAGAGTGGGTAAGTGCAGGATGTGAGGTTGCTTGCGACCATGCAGCTCGTCAGTCCGGCCTTGCGCCCTCCGCATAAATGCTAATTTTGCATTACACAAAATACACCACAAACTAGAAAACTGCATATAGAAACACTTACTCTTTATTTTGATTCAAGGACATCAGAACTTCATCGTAGTTTAGAGGGAAGGTACTATTTAACACAGCTCTGCGTGCATCCTTTTCAATAATTTTCCTCTTTCCTCCATTGAAAAAATAATCTCGGCAGACACTGGGAAAAAAAACACAAACAATTAAATTAAGGAAAAAAAATAAAATATCCAAACCTATTTCTGAGATTACTAAAAATAATTGGGAAGGGGGGGAAAGCAACCTCTTTCTCATCATAAACAAACTAGAAGAGAAAAGAGCAGATTTATAACTGTTAAAAGGCAGGAGTATAGAAAGTCGAGCAGCAATGCCTTTTCTGCTGACATAATATGAAGCACTTTTTTTAAGCAACATGTTTTTACAGTTTGTTCCTCCTACCACAGAAGATAAAGTTTATATAGCTTGCAAATCAAGCAATTGCAAGAATTGAGCAGTGAGACTGGAGGGGCATGATCTTATATAACAAAACGGATTAATTAAGCAAACGTCTTTAATGAGCAAAAAAAAAAAAAAACACACACTGAACGGGACAGAGCTAGGGGGTCACCAGACACTAGAGCAATTTACTTAGATGAACCTATAACAATGCCTACAGTGTCCCACCTGATTTTCTTTAGACCCAAGAAATACATCTACACACTTCTGAAAAAAACAACAGTTTAAAGCCTTAGCTCTCTAGACCCTGCCATTTGTCCCGCCCTGCTAGTCTTCACAATTTAGGTTTCTGAATATTTACCCAAGGCACCATTCAATGCGACTTTGTCCTTCACATTTCTTTGTCCAGTAATTGTCAGCCAAGCTTTTCATTGCACATGCATATTCACCAAGTTTTCTTTCATCTTTACAATGCTGATTCCAAACTTTATCAAAATTGCCATCTTTAAAACAAAAGAAGGAATATGAATATATTAAACATTTAAGTCTAAATACAACTTATAAGAAGTGTGGGATGTAATAATTAGCTTTAAAGAACATAATGCATGAGAAAGTGTCCTGATAAGCAAGATACAGATCATTATAACATTTGACATTAAGATGTATGCATAAACTGATGAAAAAAAATAAAAATAAAAAATAAAATATAGATGGCGGCTATTATACTAGGTTACCAAAAGACACATGCAATATAATGTAAAATCCAGAGCATAACACATTTAAGTAAAACCCACAATTAAGACTCATACATAACAGTGACAAGGGTTATAGCTAAAACTAAAATTAGCAAAAGGCCTAATGAAATGTCTGTGGCAGTTGATTTTTAATTGTGTGACTTTCTCAACTAATCAGCTGAGTGTGCATGGCAGAGTTTAACTCCGTATAGCCAACGTGACCAGTGGCCACCACTTTACTTACTCTGCAGCTGCTCCAAAAGCAGCCAGCCACTAAAGGGACTTTCGGTCACCTGACGCTGGACGTCTTCAAGCTATGCATGGGGATGCCCAGCGTCACCAAAACCACATAGGCAAGTACTGAATAATGCATTTCATCCTACTGCCGCGCATGCGCATTAGGTCTCCTCCGTCAACAGGGGAGGAGAGAAGGCGGATCGAAGCCAGTGCTGAATGATAGCGGAGCTGGACCCAGGTAAGTGACCATAGTTTTCTGGGCACTATATAGTTACCCTTTAAAAGCAAGGATAGGGAATCTTCGGCCCTACAGATGTTTTAGACTACATCTCCCATTATGCTCTTACAACCATAAGGCTGGCAAAGCAGCAAAGGAGATGTAGTCCACATCTGGACGGCCAAAGGTTCCCCACCTCTGCTTTAAAGCATTTTAATAAAATTAAAATATATAAATATATATGATAAGATATTGATCGTGAAAGATACTTTAAAATGTACTTTAAAATGAGAATTCATTGTCTGAATAAATCAGACATTCTACTTCATGACATGACTGCTCGTAATGCATGATTTTCAAGATAGAAGCAGAGACTACAGTGATTTCTCTCTAACAATAAAAAGTAACGGCAGCATAAATGCTGTATATTTTACGCAAACTGCTCATGAGGTTACGCTGAGGGTGGAACCCTGAAGGCAGCTTCCCTTTTACACAGTAGACATGGTTATGGAATGAGAGAATAATCATATGACCACACTTTCACAATGAATTTAAAAAGGAACAGCGTAGTCATAAATAAACTTATCTAAAGTTGTTATAGTGTCATAAATCAGTTACCATTTTTAATTTAAAATTTAATTTATTGTGTTTGAGTGCTTGAAAGAGCGCTTTCCAGTTTTGCCTCACAATTCAGTGAGCCTTAATCTTAACTTCTGGTATGGCATATCTAATCATACCACAACATATCCCTTTTGTATACATGAGCCATACATCACTCCTAATTATTGTGTTCAGGTGTCAGCCTCGCTCATTGCTAACAGGTACACAAAATCCAGCATGTAATGTAATCTTTACAAAGTACAATGCATCCTACTGAAGAGTTTAGGGACTTTAAAAATTCCCGTTTCTCAAGCCAAGTCGTTATGGCCTACCAGTTATGCTTCAGACCTCTATGTCCTATTTAGGGATCAACCAATGTAATTTTTCCTGAGTCGATGCTGATAAAGATTATAGTTCGCCTTTTGGGACGTTTGCCGATAATCTGTATGTTTAAAGTTTTAAAAAGGCAACACAATTTCTACACAAATCTGGCATTAACTTAACATGAAGACGGAAGTCATATTGCCATCACTCTCAGCAACCCTGTACATTACAGCAGATTATTCATGGTCTCACCTCATGCAGGGACTCACAGGGAGGTGTCAAACAAGGTCACAACATGGCACCACACTAGCTGGAGTTTCCAGATGTGGAGGACAGGGTGCAGTAACTGGGACAGGCAAGTAAGTTTTCAGTAAATTACAAGACTGGTACATATTATTGGAAAGATGCCGAATATATGTTCTAATAAAGTCGGTATAGTTCGGTGGAGGAGGGATAACGATCTGGGGCAGTTTCAGGATTTAACCCCTTAAGGACGGAGCCAAATGTACACGTTGTGAACAAAACAAAATGTAAACAAAACCTGGCATTTGCGCTACATGTCTGTCCAACCGTAATACACCTCTTTCATAGTAAATGCACCCACCCTTATTATATATCATTTTATTCAGGGGAAACAGGGCTTTCATTTAATATCAAATATTTAGCTATGAAACATAATTTAATATGAAAAAATGGGAGAAAATACGATTTTATTGGATTTTTTTAGTTCTACATGACAATTAAACGGTCAGTGTCATAATACTGTTTGCTTTTACTGCAATAAAATACACATATTTGTATTCAGCAAAGTCTCACGTGTAAAACAGTACCCCTATGTACAGGTTTTATGGCGTTTTGGGAAGTTACAGGGTCAAATATAGCACGTTACATTTGAAATTGAAATTCGCCAGATTGGTTACGTTGCCTTTGAGACTGTATAGTAGCCCGGAATGAAATTTACACCCATAATGGCATACCATTTGCAATAGTAGACAACCCAAGGTATTGCAAATGGGGTATGTCCAGTCTTTTTTAGTAGCTATTTGGTCACAAACACTAGCCAAAGTTAGCGTTAGTATTTGTTTGTGTGAAAAATGCAAAAAATGCCAATTTTGGCCAGTGTTTGTGACTAAGTGGCTACTAAAAAAGACTGGACATACCCTGTTTGCAATACCTTGGGTTGTCTAATATTGCAAATGGTATGCCATCATAGGGGTAATTTTCATTCTTGGGCTACCATAGGGTCTCAAAGGCAACGCAACCAATCTGGCGAATTTTAATGTGAAAAAAATGAAACGCAAGCCTTATATTTGATGCTGTAACTTTTGAAAACACCATAAAACCTGTACATGAGGGGTACTGTTGTACTCGGGAGACTTCACTGAACACAAATATTTGTGTTTCAAAACAGTAAAAAGTATCATAGCAATAATATTGTCCGTTTAATGCTGTTTGTGCGTGAAAAATGCAAAAAACGTCACTTTTACTGGCGATATCATCGTTGTAATACATTTTACTGTTTTGAAACACTAATATTTGTGTTCAGCGAAGTCTCCCGAGTAGAACAGTACCCCCCATGTACAGGTTTTATGGTGTCTCGGAAAGTTATAGGGTTAAATATAGTGCTAGCAAATTAAATTCCCTTTACTTTCGGCATGGGTTGTCATGCAGGTCCTGCTAATTGTAATTAATTAAGATACCTAATTATGTAAAAATATTACATAAATATATATGTAGAATCAATATATGTATATATATACGTATGTGTATATATATGTATATATCTATATAATTTTTTAAAAATATTTTTATTTATATATAGGTATATATATAGTGATATATACGTATATATTTATGTGTATAAATATATATATATTATTTCGTTCTATGTGTATTTTGATATATATATATATATATTAATTTCACAATACAGTTAGAACGAAATAACACACATCTATATATTTTTTAATTATTTATTTTTAATTATTTTTGTAATTTTATTTTTTAACGTATTTACATTTTAATTTTTTTTATAATATATATAAATATATATATAACAATAATTATATATATATTTAATCAGTATCAGTGTACGTGTAATTTGATATTAATATATATATATATAATTATATATATATTAATAGTAAAATACACCTAGACGGTGTACATGTGTGTATGTATATGTGTATATATATACTTTGATCATATATATATATAATATATATATATGATCTAAGTATATATTATTTATTTTTTTACACTATTTATTTCATTTTTATTTTCAGCCAGCAGGGGGACCACCTGTCATTACAGGCAGCCCCCCTGCTGGCAATACAGAAGCCAGCTATCCCCGGCCATGTGATTGTGGGGTCCTCGCTAGGACCCCACTCTCACACGGCCGGGGGGCTTCCTGGAGGACGGTCGTGCCGCGGGGGGCTCCCTGGGAGTCCCCCCCACCGCTATCGCCGGCGTGGGACCGCCGGCGACCGGGTAAGTACATAAAGACCGGAGGGCGTACTATTACGCCCGGCGGCGTTTAGAGCCGCCTATTAGAGGACGTAATAGTACGCCCTCCGGTCTTAAGGGGTTAACACTACACAATAGAAAGACACTGAACAGCTAAAGGTTTCCAACTTTGTAGCAAATGTAGAAAAAACAAAACAAACAGTTTGACGAAAGCCTTCTATTCCAGCATGACTGTGCACAAGGCAGGGTCTACGAAGTCATGGATTGATTAGTTGTGTGAAAGAATGTGACTGCAGAGCTCTGAACTGAAGCAGAGATTGCAAGCATTTTCTTTTTATCCAAAGACAGTCCAATATCAATCATACCCGACCTCACAAATGCTCTTTTGGCTGAATGGGTACAAATTCCCCCAGAATATTAATTATAGCAGTAAGCCTCCCTCCCTAGAACAGCAATGGTTGGATGTCCAACATGCTCATGTAGGTGTGATGTTCAGGTGTCTAGACAGTATATCGGACATTAGGATTACGTTTTCTACTTTCACACAACCCAACACATAAAAATTGAAAACCCTTTCCAATTATTAAAGGGACACTATAGTCACCTGAACACCTTCAGTTTAATGAGGTTGTTCAGGTGAGAACTATAGCTCCCTGCAGCCTCTCTCATGTAAACACTATTTTCTTAAAAAAATAAAAAATAAATTGTGTTTACATTGAAAGCTAGGAACACCTCCAGTTGCAGTGAACCAGAGGGACTACTGAGTTGATGGAGGTATAATATGCCTCCATCCACTCAGATCTGCTGTGCACGAGCATCCTGTGATTCATTATTTCCTCCCACTGCATGCAGACACTGAACTTTCCTCATAGAGATTCATTGATTCAATTCATCTCTATAAGGAGATGCTGATTGGCCAGGGCTGTGTTTGAATCATGCTGGCTCTGCCCCTGATCTGCCTCCTTGTCAGTCTCAGCCAATCCTATGGGGAAGCACTGTGATTGGATCAGGCTATCACATGTCAGCAGACTGCTTGTTTTTCCCCCCCCCGAGTCTAAAAGCTTCTGGCTTGAATACAGTAAGATTTTTACTATATTTATGGACGCATGAGGGGCCCAGGGGTGCTAGTGTAGTTGCACTGGTGACTATAGTGTCCCTTTAAAAACATGCAGTAATATTTCTTTTAACAAGCCATTCTGGGTAACTGCTATTGATCCAAAAATTGTCAGTGGCAATTATGCACCATTTTATTTGACTTCAAGGATCACTAGTGTCAGGAAAACAAACCCATTTTCCTGACACTATAGTGCCCTAAGAGTGCCTCCACCCTCAGGGCCCCCCTCTCGTGGCGCTGAAGGGGTAGCTTACCTTAATCCAGTGCCGTGCTCCCTCGGCGCTGGTGACTCCTCCCCCGCCAACATCAGCTCCCAAGTGGAGAGAAATGAAAATGCGCGGCAAGTGCTGCGCGCATTCAAACAGTCCATAGGAAAGCATTTCTCAATGCCTTACTATGGATGCTCTGCACGTTAGATGTGAATTTCGCATCCAGCGTCAGATGCGCCTCTAGCGGCTGTCAGGAAGACAACTAGAGGCTGGATTAACCCTACTATGTAAACATAGCTGTTTCTCTGAAACTGCTAGGTTTACATCTGAAGGGTTAAAAGCTGAGGGACCTGGCACCCAGACCACTTCATTGAGCTGAAGTGGTCTGGGTGACTATAGTGTCCATTTAATACAAAATAAGGAAAACTTAGAAGGGGAAAAATAAAAAAAACAAAAAGCCACCAGCAAGAAATGTTTACGTTTTCCCTTTAAATTGTAAACTAGACAGGGTTCGAAGATATAGAATCCGTTTTCATCTTCCAAATGTGAGCTCCCAAGTCCTTGCTGAATGTATCAGCTAAATAAACAGATGATGTTAGAGAATAGTCACCAACATGTAAACAGCTGAGGACTTTAGTTTGCTTTTCCAGAATTTCTTGCAGAGCAAGCTGGTTTCCTTCATAAACAAAAAGTTTACAGCTTTGAATATGCAATCTTTGACCTGCATTTTTTGTATAGACAATATGATGAGCATTCACAATAATGATATAAGGGTTTGTGAATTCAGTTCCAAAAAGCAGTATACAGCAAATTCTACAATTGGCAAAAGAAAGGAATTACATTTATTTGTTTAGATTTAATTTAGACACCCATACAATAAAGGTCACTCTTAAAACCTAATGGGGACCTCTGGGCACCATAACAACTTCATAAAAATGAAGTGGTTACATTATTTATATTGTCAGATGGACCCTGGCACTGGCTTACATTTACGGGTTAAACAGGTCACGAACAATTTAACCACAAATTTTCCACTCCTGCGCTAACTCTGCCCCCTGCAGCTCCCATGTCAAAAAAAGGCTTAGAAATATGTATTATAATGAAGTTGTTATGTTGCCCGGAATGACCCTTTAAGTTTTGGATTGGTTTATGATGTCTGGGATTTTGAAAGCAGGGCGATATACCTATGGCAACACCTAACAAAGTCTATTTTTCTTTACTTCCTTTTTTCTTCTAATTATAATTATCTACTTGGGTTCATGCACTTTGAGGGATTGGAGGAATTTTTTTTGTACAAATGCTTGTTCTACACACTGCCCGATTATACAGATTTAGTCATTATTCTCACGGCATAAGAGGGAAGAGAAAAAAAAAAAAAAAAGGAGAAGTACTTTAATAGTTTCTGTTTTTGGCAGACGTGTGAGGTGATGGAGGCAGGGACTGAATATGCATTCTAAGCAATTAAACATGATATTCTGTATAGCTAGTCACTTTCTTTGGACACTCCCTTGATCTTATGGTCAGGACTGTTATATGGCTCAATGCAAGCAGTCTGCTTAACATCTTTTCAAGAAACACTCCAATTAAATAATACATTTGTTTGTAATGTTCCTTAAACGGTTTAAAATACCAATAATCCCTTCAATATATTCTAATAAAACTAATAAACTCACATTTATCCAGCACCGAGAGAATCTCCTTGCCATAGCAGCTCTGATCCTCTACTTGTGAAGTCATCATCTGTGACTTGTGTCCATTTAGAATCATTAAAAGGAAAAATATAGTGTGAGGAATACATCACTCTAGGTGTTAAAGGAGAAAAAAAATAAATAAAAAAATATGTAGGTGTTCAGACACCCTTGCCGCTCATGAAAAAGACATTTTAATTTATTCTTTTCAAGTGCCGCGTGATCTCAGCCAATCCAATGCTTTCCTGTAAGAACGCATTGGGAGTCTAATGCGCGTGAGCAGCAAAACACTACTGCGCTAAGTCAGCAGATTGTGTTTTTAACACTAATGTCAGAAATACTGGTTTGTGTTCCTTTAATCCCTAAAGCACTTCAGCAAGGTGAAATGCTCTAGGGCAGGCTTCCCCAAACTTCAGATTTTGCTGAACTACAACTCTCATGATTCTAAGAATTAAATAGATAGGCTGGGAATCATGTGAGTTGTAGTTCAGCAACATCTGGAGGGCCGGAGTTTGGGGAAGCCTTCGTTATGGGGATTGGAGTGTCCCTTTCTTTAAAGCACTTGTTAAACAAATGTTTAATCTGAATTAGAGTGCATCACAACCAAAATATTGAAGACCAATGCAAACTACACTTCCAAGAAACCCAAGTCAGAGCATCATGTGCAGCAGTCTTTCTGGAATATAAGTGAAAGTTTTAAGGTATAGGTTCTCTTTGTAATGCAAAAGAGTGCTAAAACTAGTGTAAAACAGATGGGCTCACTGAAGACCAAGTTAAAAGGGACATGCATCACCGAAAAACAGGATCATACAAAAGCTTTCGCTTCGAATTACATAGTTTCCTCACTCTGCAGGATGATAAAAAGCAGTTAAAAGGACCACTATAGTGCCAGGAAAACATACTAATTTTCCTGGCACTATAGTGCCCTGAGGGTGCCCCCACCCTCAGGGCTCTGGAAAGGGGGAAAGGGGTTAAAAAAAAAAAAAAAAAAAAACTTACCTTTCCAGCGCTGGGCGGGAACTCTCTCCTCCAATCCTTCAGCTGAATGCGCACGGCAAAAGAGCTGCGCGATTCAGTAGGTCTCATAGGAAAGCATTCAAATGCTTTCCTATGGACGCTGGCGTGCTCTCACTGTGAAAATCACAGTGAGAAGCACGCAAGCGCCTCTAGCGGCTGTCAATGAGACAGCCGCTAGAGGGAATGGGGGAAGGCTTAACCCATTCATAAACATAGCAGTTTCTCTGAAACTGCTATGTTTATTAAAAAATGGGTTAACCCTAGCTGGACCTGGCACCCAGACCACTTCATTAAGCTGAAGTGGTCTGGGTGCCTAGAGTGGTCCTTTAATTATGGTTGTTTTTTGGTGTTTAACTACATTTTATTACTAATGCTTTTTCACACCTACTGATATAACCAGTGTCGTGCGATCTCTAGGAATTCTGAAAAGTGCATTGGGCATGACTGACATTTATACATATGTCCTTGGAAGATCTCTTCACTTTGCAACATCCTAAGAGGAGGAGAGGGAGTCTGATCATGTAGAGCAGGCTGTGGTGTCAGGTTTCGCTCTCCTGCTGCTGGTTGATTACTTGTTTGTTATTAGTGGACTGGTCTGAAAAGGAGATGGGTGGGTAAAATGGAAGAGAGGGCCATATAGCTAATAGGTATTCCCAATAATGCAATCTGAAAAAGTTTATAATGGTTATCTACATCATTTTCAGAGTTTGTCTTGCTTTATTTTGGCTTGTGTGATCGTTTGAAAGTTTTTGCTGGCTTTAAGTGAAAGCTCTTTTTTTGTTCCACAAAACAAAAAATAACTAATGTTGGGCAGATATGTCACCTATATGTTGATTGTGCATGCCAAATGTTTATTACCCTACAGAACCCACCCCAAAAAAAAGTTTTAAATCCCACTACATGGCTACATAGAGAGGACAGTTAATCCTCCAATATCGTATAAACATTGTGAGAATAGACTTTAAAATAAGGACGAATAGCTTGAAATATGCAGAGAGGGTTGTAATTTTTTAATACCATAACCTACTGATAAGCCTTTAACGCATGAAGAGTGTGTGTATATAATATTATTATTATTATTATTATTATTATTATTATTATTATTAATAATAATAATAATAATAATAATATACACACACACACACACACACACACAAAACGTTTTTATATTAAACCTGTAAACACTTAAATGCAGTAAAATATTGAACATTTTAATGTTGAGCTTTACACAAAACCAGTTGAGTTGTTGGTCTAAAGCACAGACACTTAGGCCAGGTCATGTCCGGACATGAAACCTTAAACAATAGCCAAGTCAGGGCTTTGTTTTGTTTTTTACAGAACTCCCGAAGTGGGGTAAGCGGAAATCCGAATTGCATCAGACTTGGATACATTCACTCAGTCAGTCACGGTTAAAGCTGGGATATTTTAAGCCTGAACTTTTTCCCCCATTCGTTTTTCAATGAGCTACTTAACACTACTCCATGTTGAGTAACAGTTAAAAAAAATATATATATATAAATAAATACAAAAAGTTAAAACAAACATGGAGGAGAAAAAAGTTAAATCAGCTATTTTAAGTTTGTCTAAAATGTTGCAATAACTTTAAACTCCAAGCATCTCACGTTTAAGTGACCAACAACAACAAACCTGCAAGAAGTACTGAAACCTCAAAGCACAACATACTGTCCCTTTAAACAGTAGCAGGTTATAAACAAACAATAAAAGGAGCAGCTGCCAGGAGTTTCAATGCAGGCCTGGATAGAATATCATGGAACGTTGATGATTATAATAGAATCCTCAGCTAATATTTGAGATTCCAAACACTTTAGATTGTTAGCCTGTGTGAGCCAAGTCCCCCACCCTCTATTGTTCCTGATTGTACCCCCATCTACCTTGTTTACGGTTTAAACCCCAAATTGTGCAGCGCTACAGACTATGTTGGCGTCCTATTCACAATAAGAATAAAGAGATTGGGTAAAACTCAGAGACTGACACGGGCTGGATATCCCGCAGGCTGATTTAGAACTACAACTCCCGTGATGCTCTATCATTCTAGCGGGTGGCAGAGCATCATGGGAGTTGTAGTTTTTTTGTGCAGTTAGCGGAATATCCGTGTTTTTGGCCGGTTTAAGGACCGGACAGGCCACGGAGGACCCAGTCACAGCTCCGTTACCTTCCAGGTACTGTTTCCGCAGGCTCCGGTGGACGCTCTTCACCACCCCGGAGAGCTTCTCCTGCTCCTGCTTCGCGACCCGGGGGACGGCTCCCTCACTGAGCTGCGGGTTCCCGGCCAAGGCCCGCGGGCCAGCTTTGCTCTCCTGCCTGCGCTCCATACCTCGACCCTGGCTGCTGGAGAATGCCATCCACGCCCCCCCCGACCGCCGCCACCTTCCTCCTCAGCAGCACGTACAGAGCGAGCGCTAGCAACAGCCGCGTCACCGCCGGACAACGCACGCGATAGGCTGGCGGGGAGGTGGGCGGGGTCGGCACTCTCAGCCAATCAGAGCGGAGCAGCTATCCTCCTCAGCGACGCGGATCGCTGGTTAACTGCTCAGGCGCCAGAGAGCCACTGCTCGCCAGGGCCAGTGCGCGCGGCAGCTCCTGATAAAACCGTTAAATGGGAGGAGCCTCAGGAAGCGTATGCGAGGAGAGGGAGGGAGGGGGGAGGGAAAAAGAACTGCCAATCACAAGACTCCTCCCTGATTGATAGCTCCTCCCCGTCCTTGCAACAAACACGTTCCCTTTTGTTTCTTTCGGCAGAGCTTGGAGACTCGCTCAGCCAATCAGCGCAGAGCAGTGTTTTTGTACGTGCTGCAGCGTATCGATAGGCAAGACCGTTAGCCGGGCGGAGGGGAGGGGGAGGTCACGTGACCCCTGGAGCGCGCTTGCTTAGTGTGTGGAAAAACCCCAGCCATTGAGGAGGAGGAGGAGGAGGAGGGGGGCAGAGGTCTCTCACTCCATGTTGTCATGTCACACAGTGATTTAATAAAGATTATCGTGACAGTGGCTTTATACAGTAAAACACACACAGCATGCACAATAAATACACACATTAACCCAGAACTACAACTCCCATGATGCTTTGCCCTCAGGCAGTATTACTGTATTTCCTTCTCGCTCACAAGTACAGCGCTACGGAATCTGATGGCGCTATATAAATAATATAATAATAATATTAATTTACTATCAAAGCCCCCCCAGGCCGTAAGCTCCTTCGAGCAGGGTCCTGCATCAGCCTGTTGTTCCTGTAATATTTTGTAATTGTCTCATTTATTGATAAATTTCCCCCATTTATAATATATTAATGCGCTGAGGAACAAGTTAGCGCTATATAAATATCAATAATAATAATAATAATGATAATAAAAGCAGATTAATAAGGCTGCCCAGGGCTCCAGGCTGGGTGTTAGAGTGGGGCCCCAGAGTCTGTCTCTGAGAATGTTCTGTGTGTTGGTGGCTGAGCATTGTGTGTGTGGTTGTGGGTGGAGGGGGCGACTGAGTGATGTCTGTAGTAGCTGAGCATTGTGTGTGTGGTTTTGGGTGGAGGGGGCAACTGAGTGATGTTTGCGGTGGCTGAGCATTGTGTGTGTGGTTGTGGGTGGAGGGGGTGACTGAGTGATGTTTGTGGTGGCTGAGCATTGTGTGTGTGGTTGTGGGTGGAGGGGCGACTGAGTGATGTTTGTGGTGGCTGAGCGTTGTGTGTGTGGTTGTGGGTGGAGGGGGAGACTGAGTGATGTCTGTAGTAGCTGAGTGTTGTGTGTGTAGAGGAAGCTGTGAATACGTTGTCCGTAAATTGTAAAAAAAAAAAAAAGGCAAATTAATTAAAATGCATAACAGAACAAACATTTTTCATGGACATGCGCTCAATACAAATTCATTATTTAAGCCAGTTCGCCATAAAGTAACAAGTGTATGGATCCAAAGGCCAGTTTTTGCAATCCCCGCCAACTGCAGGAATGAAGGAGACTAAATTAGACGTTGGGACAGCACCACAAAACCAAATCTGTCCCACCAAAATCGGGGATGTTGGGGGAGGCCTGTCTTCATCTTTCACCTGGGCCCATCATCCTCAGCCGCCTGTCAATTAGTATTATAAGCACGGTCGTGCCATAATAGTTATGGTGCTTGGAGTGTTCCATTAACCTTAATTTTGCTAATCATTTTTTTTAAAACTACTTGTTATTGAATAAACCCCATATGTGTATTAACTAGGCATACACTGGGATTTCAGGGGTGATTTCTAACTATTAGTTGGCCATCACATGCGTAAAATTTCAGAAGATTTAAATTATCAGCGTTATCCAATTCTGAGATTCACCATCGGAACCTACCAAATGTATCCACGTGGTAAGACTTTTTTTTACATGCAAACGAATTTTACAATATAGGAGGATGTGATGTGTAAAGTTGGCCTTATCGCCGGCACTAAAATTGTACAAGAAAAAATAGCGCGGTTCAAAATGATAAACTCAAAATTGCATGTAAAGTCCGTGCAGAGTACAAGAAAAAAAACATATAAAAGAAGCTACAGACAACTTTTTTATTGAGTTGAGATAGCATATTTCTTTCAGTTTTCCCATTAACTTTTATTATGGGTGATAAGGGGTCCACATGCACAGCACTTCTAATTATTTCTAGCAATAGTATGAAGTAGTACAATGCTAGCATGCTATACGCAAGCTAAGTGCTACTGCACTATAGTGTGCCTCCGGTTATGCTGGGTACTAACCATGTATTACATAGCATTTAATAACATTTCCAGTTGTTGATACGGACAATGATAGTAACCAGATGAGATGTCCAAGTCATCTGCATTTTACAGAGAGCTTGCACTCTACACATCTCTGTATGCAGTCGTGCTCTTTGTATATCTGTGATTAGCTCTCTGTTCTCTGTATGTTTCTGCGCTGTGTGATGTTAAGTCCTGTTCATTTTATATTTCTGTGTAGTGAAATGTGTCCTTGATCTCTGTATACTCAGTATACTGATGTCTAGCCCTTCTCTCTACGCTTCTTTGTATTGCTGTTTGAAGCTGTTCATGTTATATTCCTGTTTAATGATGTGTAGCCCTGACCTCTGTACCTGGTGTGTTTAGAATTACTACTTGAATTGTAAAGCCTGTCCTTATACCTGTTTATAGGTGATTTTATTCTTTGCTCTCTGTTTGTTAAATTTCAGTATTTCGATATCTTTCTGATGGTTTTGTTCTCTGGAACAGATTATTTTCACAGTTGATCACCCAGGAGGGGAGGAAGGATTGTCTTACGTAAAACATATACGGCAACATAAAATAGACCTCACTAAAATCTAATTCCTCTTTTACTTGTTGTCATCCAGATAGCAGAGCAAATGAGAGTTACACGTCCATCTAACAGAGAAACTAACCAAAATAAGAGTCATATAAATGTTTCTATTTTTATTTTTTTTAAATAACTGAGAAATTTTTTTTTTTTTTTTTTTTACATATATTAAGAGTGTTTTTCATTTGTTCACATTTTAATATTGGTTTATGGTTTTGAGCAGGGAGTGCCTTTTTCAGTCGGGGTCAGATACCTAAAGTTAAGTGGTTCATCAATAAAGTTCTCTGACTTCCGCCTGCTCGTGTTTTCAACATGATCACAAAAATGACACAACCTTTTTCTGCCGGTAACTTGGTAAAGCAAAGAATTGTAAATGTTGTTATCAACTTTAAAAAACCATCCATAGTCATGGTTAATCACACAATTTCAATGTTGATACTCTAGTATCACTTGTTCAGTGGTAGACATCATTCAGCACATATTATGTTAACTACATCTCGCATAATGTTCTAGCATCCATAATGCTGGCAAAGCATCATGGCAATATGTAGTCCACAACGTCTGTAGTGCCTAAGATTGCCTACCCCTGCACTAGTTTAATGACAAACAAAATGGATCCCTCTTCCAATGATCTGTCCTGACTGTTTGACCCTTTTTCTACTAAAGTGGTGAGAATAATAGGTGATGTATGTCATTAACTTGTTGAGTCTAAACCCCAGCATAGTCAATTCACATCCAGCATTAAACCCACACAGCTGAGCGGTTACTATAATTACTAATCCAGTATTTATCAAAACCAGGAGCAGCCCACCAGCTAGAACCAGAGAAATAAATTGTCAGAATGACCAAAATTTTGGTTTGGTCATACTCAATAAGACTTCTTCTGTCTGTCTTCATCTAACTGTTATCTTCATGCAAGCCTCTTACAATCTGCGTTGAAATACTTCATCATCAACATTAGCAAACGATCACATCAGCACAAACAAAAATATATAATTCAACCCCCATCAATATAGGCCAGCAAGACAATGTCCAATGTAAGGACTTTATTCTAGACCTGCAATATATATATAAACCCGTTTAATCGAAACAGCATATAGCAGGTAATCTGTAAGGTCATCTGAGATATTCATTTCAGCATGAACCTCACTCCCTAAGTAGTTCTATTGGGAATTGTAGTTAACTGGCTAGGGAATTGCAAAATGTTGGGTCAAAACAGTGAAGCAATAAATAGCAAAAATGAAAAAGTATCAGACGTGGAATGATAATGATTTCACGAATGATCAGAATCTTGCCACATTGTTACAATGTTACCTTGTTTCCATTAATGACAAAATATAAACCTGCATGATGTAAGCCACGCTCTGGAATCCTTCCATAGGTAAGTGCTAAATGACTGACCAAGGAACTAGCTTTCATTCTGCCATGTATGAAGCATTAATAAAACTCCCTTAGACCTACATATCCTCCCAGGTTATTGTGTGATTTACAGGTGCTCCGCTGTATCAAGAGTCTGGATTTACTTGAGTTTCAGAAAAAGAAAATAAGGATTTTGGCCTTAACATGTCAGTCATTAAATCAAGCAGAATTTACTGTATAGCATTATTGAAATTAAGCCTGTGCCTGTCTGTTACCATCCGTTGCTTGTGTAAACACAAAGAAAAGTAGTCTGACAGTGCTTGTACTACAGATTTGCATTTACATTTGAAGGGTTTGCGGGGGTTTATCCAACACTGAAATGGAAAAAGTATATAGCCCACCATAACTTCACCTAAAACCAAAATGTACCATTGTTTTACCTGAAATGTGAAGATATTTATTCAGCTGGCAGTGGGCTCTTTGAGAGAGTTAGACTGTCATAGTGGGCATTATTGTCTAGCATGCCTCATACTGAGTACGAGAATTGTATGGTTTTACCTCCCACACCTCACTCTTCTGTCAGTCCCTACATTGGCTTCCTATAAGATATAGGGCTTAATTTAAAATTCTAGTTCTTGCTTTCAAATCTCTACATAATGCTGCTCCCACCTATCTATCCTCCCTTATACACAAGTATGTCCTGTCTAGGCCCTTATGCTCTGCTGAAGACTTACGTCTATCTTCTGTCCGTACTCCCACCACTGATGCTCGCCTTCAAGATTTCTCGAGGGCTGCACCGTTCCTATGGAACTCACTTCCCTCCTCCGTTAGATGCTCACCCAGTCTCCACTCCTTCAAAAAATCATTAAAAACCCACTTCTTCATAAAAGCGTATCCATTAAACTGT